CCAGAAGCGGTCTTGACCGTTGGGTGTCTATCGTTTTCTTTGAGGAGTGACTGGACCTTGCTTTGAATCGATGCCGCTCTACTCTTCAATCCTTCTCCACCACGGCCCCCATCTTCTCCCGCTCCGCTAACCGCTGGCGATACTCAGCAGCAGCATTTGCCACTCGCCTCTCTTCCAGTGATAAACGTCGTCGCTCTAGCTCACGGCGCATCTCTGGTGAGATATCGCCATCATTGACTTCACGGCCATCATCGCTCATCTCAGTAACTTCTGAACCTGTTATTGGAGTGAGGCGTGCATTCATATTGTCAGGGGAAGGACTTCGGCTTGTCCGTTCTTGTGCTGCATTATTCTCAAAACGACGGAACGCATCGCCAAACCGCCCGGCGAGTAGATTCTTAGTCCCAGATAGAGATATAGACGTCAAACTCGAACGTTTCATATGTTTTGACCCGCTACTGACACGTTTCTCCCGTTTTCGGTTTGATTCTTCTACTTCTTTGGCTCGTAAGAAATCAATGTCTGACGATATATTGGCTCGCTCATGGTCACGATCCGTTTCCAACCGTGGGTGATGTAAGACGTCACTCCCATCGTATCCACCGCGAGGGAAGCTAGAATCGAGGGAGTCTCTCGGACTATCAAAATCCCGAAAACGCTCCGATCTAGATCCAATGAAAGAACTGGCAGGCCGGGACTTCGAGTTTGCCGATTTAGAACGAGCGGTTGGATCACTTGTATCAAGAGCAGATGGTCGGGATCCCTCTAATGACGGTCTAGACGAGACCGGTGACCTCGGTAGATCTTCGAACGAAGCGTTCTGTTTCGATTCACGCTTGAATAATCCCCCACGAGACATATAAACGTCACGACCGCTGGGGGTTTTTTCATTCTCGCTCTCGAATTGTTGGGCGGAATGTCGCTTTTCAAGGGAATTAGGGAGTCTGGATTTGGATCGTTGAGAAAAAGGCGGGCTATCTAATGGACGCAGGCGGGGGGAAGGAGTTGTCATGGTGCCAGTGGACACCATGACTGGCTTTTGAGGAATAGGTTGATGTAGGGTAGTAGTTTGTTGTCGTGTAAGCTCAGCGCGTAAGTCCGGAGATGGTATCAAAATCTTCTCTTCTAATGGTTTATTTTCGCCGAGAGATTTGGACTGTGATCCTATTGCCGGGTTTTTCTGGGAAACAGGAGTCGGATTGGCTTTGGCAAAGGCCTCATCCGCGAGAGCATTGGTTATTCGTTTTGAAAGGTCTTCCGTGGGTGGCTTGGTTTCTGGCACCGTCGGCTCAAACTCAAATTTGGACCCTTGGTCATGGAAGAGCGAAAATTCGTCCAAGGTTGGAAACCTGGAAGAGAGCTCGTCTCCGTTAGGCACTTTGCCTCCGTCAAGGGCAGCAAATGGGTCATTTGAAGCGACTCTTAATGGCGACGGACTGGGTTTGGTTGAGTTGTGATGTGAGGTAGGTTTGGTGGGTCTCCCTCGCCTCATAGGAGCTATGTCAGGAATAATCTGCGTCTCCTGAATGGGTGGGGAGAATACGGCCCCTATCTTTGGTGTTTCGTTGGGAGATGGAAGTTTTTGGTAGCGTCTTGACTCAGAATGTGAACGCCCGGAGTAAATCTGGATCGAGTTAGAACGCCGTAGTCTCATTCGCGGGATTTAAACGGAAGTCAATTCAATATATATCACGTACGTCTGTAATGGGTACCTCTTTGCCGCGCATGCGACACGCTTCCTGCAATACTTGATATATATTCGGTCGTTTTCGCGGGTCCTCTCGTAGCATAGACGCTATCTCAAAAAAGGGTAGTCGTTAGAATAGCGTTCAAAAAGAGCAATATAGGTTACCATAGTATTAGATATATCATACCAATGAGCAATTTTAATCTATCAGAGAAAGGCGGGTACGCAGGGTACTTAAATTTGGCGTTCAGGATTGCCATCTGCCCAGCTTCCTCGAAGGGAGTTGTGTAATAACAGAGCTTGTACAGAAGGACGCCCAACGCCCATATATCGCTCTTCTCATCGATTGGCTGTTTGCGATAAACATCGATCATTTCCGGACTGCGATATTGTAGAGTGGTGTGGCGCTGGACATCATCCTCGATCAGCCTCCCCTCCGCAGCAGTAGCAGCAGCTGGGCGTGGCGGCGCTGCCGACCCAAAGTCACATAATTTGTAGCTAAACGAATTCCCATGTAGCGCTATCAAGACGTTTTCGACCTTGAGATCCCGATGGAGCAAAGGGGGTTTGAGGTAGTGCATACAGGCTGTGCCCTCCGCAACATCGGTGAAAATCTTCAAGATCTCAGGCTCCGTCAAGCGATTCTGCAACCGAGTGTTCATAAAATCGATCAAGCCGCCTCCGGCGCAGAACTCCATGAGAAGGAAAACCTCATACCCGCCGCCCTTTAACTGGGATGCGTGAGAGTCAAAGTATGTGACAATATGCCGATGTCCCTTCAACTTCTTCATGGTTTCGACTTCGGTCCGCATATTTGCCAAAGCGACCTTGTCTGGCACGGCAACTCTTTTCAGCACAGCAGTCTCGGCGCCATCGATCGGATGCGGAAGGCGGACAACGTAGACGTGAGCGAATCCCCCTTCAGAAAGGTATTTTTCGATCACAACACGGTGGTTTCCGACTTGAACCTTCGTCCCTGGGGCGAAGGTCCCAGCTGGCGGTACAGCAAGTGCCATGGTAAATGGTCAATTGGCTTATCCAGAGCCACAATGAAACGGGGGTTTAGGTAAGAAGGGTGCCAGATCGTAGGATTGGACAATAGGGAAGGTCCACAGAAACCGGGCGGTGGAGTGGAGGGTTAAGGTACGAGTGAGGAAGCCCCCATGAAAGGACAGCGAGGGCCAAAAGCAGCGCAAAGAATAGGAGAACTACATTAAAAACGAAATAATCAAAAGGAGCAGAGGGCACAAAGGAAGACGAGTCCCGGAACTCCCTGGGACAACAGTGGGTGACTTGAGAAAATGATACAGCTCATGATCTCAAACCAACCGGTGATCGATGGTGGTCAACAGTTCAGCCAATCAGAGAAAGGCGACCCCGCGGCAGAATATTTCGCCGGGCCCCGAGGCCAACAAACCCAAATGGACTAAAAATAACCAGGCTTGCAGCTGTCAGAGACCGCGGATTCCGGATGGTTTGATGACTCTACTGACAGACAGAATTGGAGCACATGGGCCAGGTATGAGAGTGAGGTCGTTGCCTGATGCTGGCACACTGGCAGTGACACTGGCACCAACAGGGGACTTGACGGAGCACCACGACCTGGAGGTGACTCTGCTGCGTCATGAATTCTACTGCCTAACCGACATGGCCCTAATTTGATATTCTACAGCCTCCGACGGGGATTTGGTCGTGTGTGGAAATCACAGACTGGTGTCAAATGAAGCTGAGGATGCTAGATTGACGACCTACCTTCCTCCAAAACAGTAGGAGCGCCTAATATAGTATCGTTGGGGACAGCTGTCAGATTGAGCCACTTCCCGGTATAATATAGATGCCCCTGCGGCGAATACGATTCATTCCGGTTCATTTGTTATCAGATATAAAAGTTGCGAAATCCTCAAGTGGCCAGGTGCAAAAATACGTTCAAAATCCTGTAACGGGTTTGTTATAACATCATGCCAGAGCGGTGTAGTATCCCCCAAAAAACATCCCAGTGACATACTCCCAAGATGCCCGAAAAAAAAAAAAAAAAAAAAAAAAAAAGAGAGAGAGAGAGAGAGAGAGAGAGGAGGGGGGGATATCAGAGACCATATTGAAAAGTAAGCATCTCATCTCCCCGTCGAACACGGGCGTCATCTTCACCCATTCCCAACACCCTTCTTCCAATCCAGTACCTCACTTGCGAATCCCACCATCTCCCTCCTACAACAGCAAAGGCAGGAATTTTCTCAGCCCCACCTACACCAAAGCTACGGCCAGAGCCTGAATAATCGATCTCTCTATCTAAGGATGTAGCTGGCGGCGTCGCTGCGGCCCTAGCATTATTTATCGCACGGATCACGATCCAGAGCACCACATATCCAATGAAACTGACCAGCACCAAGCCCAATGTAATGAGGAAGGGAATGTGATAGGAATCTTTCTGGAAGTTCGGAGAGAATATAATAGATGCCAGGATCCCCGCCAGGTTCCCGTATCCATTTATCCCCAGAATAATGGTTCGTTTTCCAGGGTTCGGGATATTGCTTGCCAGCCATGTTACAGTTAGTGGGCTTGGGATGTAACTTCCGCTCAGTAGAATGCAGAGGGAAAAATATATAGCCACAGCCCTTGTTGGGGAAAGTGATGTAGAGGAAGAGGGTGATGATGAAAAAACCACGGTAAGAACAAGGCCGAGAGCTATCACCACGAGGCTTGCTAGTATTGGAACGATGCGTCTCCGAGACTTATCACTCCAATGGCTGAATATATAGAGGAATACAGACGCTAGGAGGAATGGAGGGGCAGTAAGAAGGTTGCTGATGGTGGGGGATGAAAGATGAAGGGAAGATAGAACCAGTGGAAGGAAAACGGAGAAGCCAGTGTTAGGGACGGCAGAAGCAATGTTGAGGAGGAGAATAGGAAGCATTAGCGGCAGAAAGAGAGCTGTGGACAGTAATTCCGATTTGGATAGACCCGCATCTGACGAAAAGTTCTGGGGATGTATTTTAGTGCCAATATCATCCGGCAAGAGCCGACGCCGTTGTTCATCATCAGCGTGAGTCAGGATATCTTCTTCCGCAAATTCATCTGATAATGTTGTGGAATTGAAGGCTTCTTGTCTCTGACAATCAGCCTGGGCTCGATCAATAAGAATACGCCTTTCTGCGTACGCTTGCTCTTCTTCGCTCAAAAACCATGCCGTCCCCGCACTTCGTGGGAGCCAGAAAAATCCCATTATTGCAATTATGATAGTTAAACACCCTTCAACCAAGAACAGAATTTGCCATGGCCGTAATGTTCTTTGGTCGGATGGAGTGATCCTGTCGTCGATGGGGTCCTCACTTGGAGGGAAACGAGAGAAAACAAAAAATGCAATTACTCCTCCAAGCGCACCTGCTACTCCGTACGACCCATAGAAGAGCCCAAGTCGACGTCCAAACTCAAAACGGGTATAAAATAGCGAAAGGTACGATACCGCAGTTGGGTAGAAGCCAGCTAAAAGTAGCATCGAAAATCAACAATTTTGTAAAAATAAAGTCAACGGATTTAAAGAGAACTCACCTTCCAAAACTCCAAGTATAACCCTCAACATAATAAGCTGCCATCTGCGCCGGACCCATATATGCAACAAGGTGCAAACTCCCCAAAGCGTCATAACACTCGGCACCCATCTGCTCATTCCGAATTTTCTCCCTGCCGCAGCCCCAACCGGCTGTAAAGCAACAAAGAAGACAAAAAACCATGCAACCGCCGCATTCAGATCTTCAGGCTGCAGACCAGCATCACGAGTAAAATGCGCAGTTTCTGCATTCCCGATGTTGGAGCGGTCGAGGGAGTTTACAAGGAATAGGAGAGATAGGAACGGGAGGAGGACGAAATCTAGCTTGCGGACAGTGCTTGTACGGACCGATGGGTCTGGATCTGGGTCTGGGTCTGGGTCCGGCCCGGCTGTCAGTGCCATTGTTGTGCGGAAAGTGTGTAGTAGCGTAATGATTAGTCGTTATCTGAGGTGAGGGTATCTCTCAGAAGGCAGTTCAGCAACATGGTAGTTGGAGAGTTGAGTAAAACCGATGGTGATCAACGGATGACCACTTGGTTTCCAACCGCTTTCGCTCGGTCCTCAATAGTTGTGACCTCGAAATTGGGCCAGGTGGATTTGCGGAGAAGTGATTGGTTCCGAGGTCCTCTTGAATTTAGGGTCAGAAGGCAAATCACGTGGATCAACTCTTTCAGTGGCTGCATCCTTTTGACCAGGCTCTTCTGAGCAAAAAATAAGGTACAGGTATCTGAATACAGATACCGCTGGAATATGACATGGTACGAACTATGGAATGGCCATCCATAGTTAGGGTTCTCAATGCCTTATCCAATGTGAAACCAGTTGAACGGGGTTAAACTGTCAACTTTTGTGGACTAAGAAACTCCGCCAACCAAGCGTGAACACTGGAATCTGGAGAAGCTGGTGGACCACCGTGAAGCTCTTGCCCTTCACTTGCCTCTCGCCGAAATATCCAGCTCATGCAGGATGACGTGACCCCTGCCATGGTCCAATGAGAAGGGGAAAACGCCCTAGGGAGGATCGACTGAATTGATGATGCCATCACTCCGCCTTGACGACTCGTGAACTTGATGAGAATTGTAACAAGAAGCAACGACTGCATACAGTCAGTCGACAAGTTGATGGTCCCTTTTCCCCACGCTAACATGAAAGCGCGATGTGTTTGACGTGTTTGGCAGTCTTGGCAGTCTTGGCATTTCTGCAAATATAGCCAATCAGCACCAGGGATTCGGGTCACGAGAAAATGCCAAGTCACACTTGGCCGTAACAAGAAAAACATAAACAACCGAAAAAAAAAAATAAATCAACAACTGCCTTGTCATCAGCCAAAAGCTGACCCTTTGAGGGAGTGTTGAGGATTCTCTTCGCTTGGAAGAAACATGATTGGTAAGGGTGAATAAGGCAGAAGCAATGCATTCTCTTGTATCGCGCATACTATCCATGAGGATTGAGGAACATCTTGGGCGCACATCCATCCGCGAGGCGGACAAGAAATCATCGTACAAGTCCAATAAAAACACACTGCAAGCTCCATTTACAGAAGAGCTGACCAATCGGTGTGGAGAAAAGCTCCGCTCTCGAGTCTTGGTCTCCTGTTCACCGACAAATCGAAGGAAAAGCCAATGCGCCATGTCTCGACACCTCACGTAATGATTGGGCGCATGTATCAACGTGCGGGGAGGACGCTTCTGGAGAGAAAAGTGTAAACAAATAAATCATCGAGTTTCTGCCTGAATGGATTAATGGACATTCATATGTTCTCTGGTGAAGCGCCAGTCCAGAAATAATTCAGGCGTGCAACCAGGGGCCACGAATAAGAAGTGCATTCTGAAGAGGAAATTGAAGAGAACATCCAGATTTTGCCCTGAGCAAAGGGACGCCAAACTCTGTCCATAAAGTTATTTTGCTTTTTCCAAGACTCGAGTGTCCGGCTGCCCAAGCGCCAGCAAGTTTCCCCGGTGACCTTGCAAGGGTCCCGCGGAAAGACGACGGCTCCATCCGCCATGCTAAATCGGACCTTGGAACCTTCGGACAGTCAGAGTTTGGAAAGGACTCGAACAATTTCTAAGAAACCCTCCCATTAGTTATCTATTCATATGGCAGAATAACTCCGTCAACTTTTTTTCGTGACTTCTTTCATCGTCCCGAGTAACTCAGTTATCGATTGTTCTGCCTTTCTGTCATACCTCGACAGGGCCTTCTGCCTGAATCCTGGTCCCGACCCGTCTGGATTGCTTCGAGACGTGGTCTGTTCTGAAATCTGACAATAACATAGGTTGGTGAACTTTTACATTTTTGTTTTTGGTTTTCATTGCCGTCATATTCCGTTTCTCTCTCTCTATTTTTCTTTCCCCTCTCTCTCGCCCTGTTTGATAGTGTATGTTGGGTTTGGCGAATGCTTAAGGGCCTTCAGGTGACGCTCCATAATTTTGATTGAAGGTTACCGACTCAAGACTGAAGAGCAACCCGTCCCGATTTTCAGTCCTCACACCAAAACAACGTCAACTCGGACTCCATGACTCTCCTTATTTAAAATACACCGTCCTTCCACCGCTTAACACAGCCAATTAGAATAGTTGGGATCTTTCTACGATCTTCCAGGAAGAACCACCCCATCGAGAGGCACAACATCGGGATTGGGATTGGGGCCCAAGTGCCACCCCACCCCATTGTGTGGCTGATCATGAAGACATTCTTCATTGCCTTTAGATATCGACTGGTACGGATTCTTCTACGACAATAGGAAGGATTGGTGGTGGCATAATATCCAGGAAACAGAAAGCCTCAGCTATCGTCGAACCTTCAAATACGCATATCCATACACACACAATATTTTACAACATTTGCATGCATTTCGTCACTTGAATTTACTGTTTTCTCTCTAATAATGGACGGACCCCCGCCCCCTCCTCCACCTCACGGTACTCCTCCAGGAGGTAGACCACCCCCCAATGCAAACGGCGGGTATCGCAAATCGACAGACCTTCCAGAAGGACCGTATGATATTTTCATCGTTCCGCCTCATTCGTCAGGTTCTGGTTTCATATACCTACCTTCCCTTCAATGTCATAGGAACAGCTTCCTGGCGGGAGTGGCGGCCACTCTAGTTGGAGTAGGAGTATACGTATGGGTGGTGCCCATTCTGAAAACGTGGGTTTCATCAGTTGCTCAAAGTGGTGGTTCGGGCGTCTTTTTGGTTGTTATAGTGGTTGGGATTGCTAGCTGGGCTTGGGGAAGGTCACAAACAGGTTCCAGCAGCACGCCGCCCCCGCCTCCGCCGCGTGGTGCTCCTCGACCGCCTCCCACTGGTGGAGGAACGGGTCACGGAGGCCCGCAGCACGAACCGCCTCCCTCATCAGGCCCCAATCATAACTCCGGGGAAGGCCCTCATTATCAAAATTTCAATGGGCAGTACTCAGGAGGTTATGGAAATGGTCCGAACCCAGGTGGACAATACAATGGCGGCCCATTCCCTGGTAGCCAGTATCCTGGAGGCCATCGTTATACACAAGGAGAAGGAACCTCTGGGGCTGGCGGGTCGGCCCCGCCGCCTCAATCTCCTCCAGATCCACCACCAACTACGCCACCCAATCCATCTGAAAATGACACTCCCAAGCCGAAAGACACAGACTGGGAAAAGGCGAGGGAGGAAACAAAACGAAAAGAAGACATAAGAAGGAAAATGGAGGAGTTCCGGAAGAAGAGAGAGGAGGAAGAAAAGGAAAAACAAAGACAACGGGAGAAGGAGGCGCGAGAACGAGAATTCCGTGAGAGGAAGGAAAAGAGAGAAAAGGAGCGACTTGCTAAAGAAGCCGAGGAAAAGGAGGCTACAGAGAAAGCCGCTAAAGAGAAAGCTAGGGCGGAAGCTGCTGCTCGGTTCGCCGCTGCTCGTGAAGCCGTGGCCGCAAAGAGAGCTGCAGACAAGGCAGCTGCGGAAAAACTTGCAGCGGAGAAGCTCGCAGAAGCGAAATTAATGGCGGAGAAGTTGGCAACAGAAAAATTAGCGGCGGAGAAATTAGCGGCGGAAAAACTGGCCGCAGAGAAACGTGCAGAGTCGGTTAAGCAAGCGCCATCTGTCAACACCCCCCCAAGAACGCCTTCCCCGCAAAAAAAACCTCCTTTTCCATCTGCAAAAACAGAACTCGAGGATGATGCATATTCATTTCGTCCCTATGATCGACCCAGGAAACAGCCGTCTGCACCCTCCGTATTCTCTGAATCATCGTATGCACCGTCCCAATCGACTGCACGAACAACTCCACCACCCTCTCGACGCGGACCGTATTCCACAAAGGATCCTGATAAGATCATTATATATGGCGTGTATGTATTCAACAACACTTTTATGAGGACACCCGTTGCACAGCTGGTGTCGGGGGAAGGGGCATGTAACCGATGGTTTGATACTACGCATCACCACGGAAGGAATGTTCGTAGATGATGACATTAGAGGTGTAGCCCAACGCGAATGGGACGTCAAAGCATGGACAATGAAGCTTGTTGAGGTATGGTGCCCCCAGCTCGGTGCGAACCCTTCTTCCATCCGCCCAAGCCAGGTGAAGACCAATCCTTTCCGGTTCAGCACGTCATATGCGCACAAGGTTCCCAGCAGTGAGGAATCTGATGCGTATTTGGCAAACCTGCACAGGTTCTGCAAAAATCAGTGCCGGCTCGGAGCTGCGTCTTCCGGACTATGGCCTCGCAGTGGCAATAGTAATAGCAGTATCATTGATAATGGAGACATTCTGCAGAGCGCGGAGTTGCGTGGCTTCCACGTCGTTCGTGCAAGCATCAGAGACCAAGAAGGCAAGAAATATGTCTTTGTCTTGCAAGAGGCCGAGGCTTGGAAAGTAGCCGTCGGGCTGCAGCGGTTGAAGAAAGGGAGTCAAGTTAGGGCCCTGGGTGTGTGCGGCTTGCCTGCCAACGAAACCAACGCTGTTCTTGAGAGCCTGGGGTATGTCGCAGGTTGATGGAGATGGAAATTGAATTGTTCTCCAGGTAAGGGATAAGGTATGAAAGACCACCATGAAGACTTTAGCCATCGGAACAAGCGGTGCTGACCATCATCGGTTGAGTACTAGTAGACGGTAGCTTGTTCGATTCTTGTTTCTAATTCCTGTGTATTTTCAATTATTTTTCTTTCTTGTTTCAGCCCTCCGTCAAGGATATCCGAAATACGCATCTTTCCAGGTCATTTTTAGCGATGGAGTTTAGATAGAGGCATATATCATTCATTCGTTCAGTCATCTCTTTGCTTTCTGGAGGGAATTTCCTTTGGAGGTTCCCATGCTGCGACAGCTCTTCCCATGTTATGCGAGTTGGCTTGACGGTCACCTTTTCGTTCTCTGTTTTGTCTGTCTTTGAGAATACCCCTTTTTTTCACGTACATATACGACTGCAGGTTATGCGTGCACGCATGTGCTAACTGTTGATCAATTTGGTCTGGATATTCTGGTGTGTAATAGTTTTTGGACATCTTCTTAATACCATCTATGTTATATATATATATATATATTTTGGCCGCTGATGGCTGGTCTTGCCATCTGCCTGGAAAGCATAAGTTGGCTGCTCCCGCTGGGTTATATAGCAACCATCTATGTCTAATTATTCCACCATCACGAAACCTCTGTGGATGATTCGATCCTGCTGCGTAACCCTGCGAATGTATTAATTATTTCGATGAATGATAGTCAAGTCGGCACTCTCATTCGGCTAGCGGCGCCAGGACGCAAAGCCCAGGTTTGTCTGCAACATTTCAGCCCACCAAACCCCAGAAATGAACACAAACCAGCTCATCTTCGAAGACTGTGATAGAGTACGATTGGAACTTCGCATCCAATCGCTGAACACATGAATCGATACACAGCTTCTGGCAATTAACCTGCTGCAGTCTCTCTTCGCAGACCCTATCTGTTCAAAAGAAGAATCAAAGCCTGATCAGCGAGACATGCCCGCTCCAAGACTAGGAAAAGAGCATTGGGTCATGACGCGGAGAGGTCCATCCGAGCAGAATGTGGCTGCCTGGATCAACCAGGTCTATCCACGCACTCAAGTTCATCGTTGTCTGCTATTTAGGGTTTACGAAGCTCAGCCTTGAGGGCATTTTGTCTCGAGGAGGGGAGCTGGTCGCGGGAGAGGGTCCCGTCCCCCGTGTTGGATGTTCCGGATGCTGTGATGTTTTGATCTGGTCTGCGGAACTGATTTTTGAGACTTCTTTCTGATTTGCCCCACACTGCCAGGATCAATCTTCACAAGAACTGATGTACGACATGATTTGCGGTCTCTAACTGGGCTGAAGTTTGGGAATACTTGTTTTTCCTTTTCGCTGCCCTTGTGCTTTTGAACTGCTTGTGCTGTGTTTTGTACTTGCTACGCTTGCAAGCAATTGGACAGTGGACAAGGCAATGGCGTGTGCGATATCTGCTGAACGACCTGCTGCAGCTGCCGCTTGGGCGGAGCATTGCCATTCCCGGCCTCTTGCTCTTTTCTTTTAAAAAGGGCAAAACCCCCTGTCCTGCACTGACTGAATTATTTGTCTTATCTGACCGGTTGCAGACTTGGCTTAGCTGCTTATTTCAGATAGGCCCTTATATACGGCGCTCCTTCGCCCTGTCCAGAGGTTGTACTGGAATCTTGTCCCTCCCTCTTCTCATCCATCTCTCCTGGTGGAAACAAGACGTGTTTTCTATCAGTCTATTCCGCACTACAGTATTTTCAACATCTATCCCCTCCAAATAAGGTCCGGGCAGGGGAATTTCAAACATGACGAGCACTTACTCAGACCAGCCAAGGTATCGGGACGACCCTTCGGCAAACGAGAAGGATATCTTAGTTGCTGAATATAATATTACCGCTTTGGAAGATGCACAAGCATCTCCCGTCCACAAAAGGCGCTGTGGTTTCATAAAAGGAGGATGGGCCGGCTTTAGAGACAGCTCTCGGTCTATCTGGACTAGAATCTCGCTTGCACTCTTCAAAGTTGTCTTGTTTGCTGGGCTGGTTGGGTTCTTCTACAAAGGCACTTTTCACGGATTTAAGAAGGTATGTGAGGAATGTTTCTTCAATCGTCACTTCAATATTTACTAATTCTCCTCCTTTATTTTTGTCAAAGTCCCCATCATTATTGCGCTACTTTCTACCCTCGATGTTTCTGTACCTAGTGGGTATTAACAGATATCTCTAGCAGTGTGCACACTCCAAGCAGAACAACCACCAGGTATCTGTAAATAGCTGGCATGACCATGGACCTTCTGAGAAACGGGACATCTCTGTCAATACAACTACCAACTCCATTGTCGGCAAATTTCCGCTCTATGACAGTCTCAACTTAACCACCGTCACTGGTAGCATTGCTGTCGTCATCGACCCTCAGCCTGCACATCCAGAACAACCAGAAAAGCCAGCACGTGTGTCCATCAAGACCGAGTCAGGAAGCATTTCTGTTGCATTCAGGTTGCCTGGTGTACAACCTGCCCTTAACGATGCTGCCAGTTTCACACAACTCCAAAGCCTTTATTACTCGGACAAACCAAGTGTACGCAGCAACGACAATAAAAACAACAACCTGCACGCATTCCTCACCCCTCGTTCCTACGAAGTAGAAATCCATACTTCCTCTGGTAGCATCTCGGGCCAAATCGCCTTCTCAAATCTACTCAAGCTCTCCACTGTCTCCGGCTCCATCAGCGCCAACCTCATTCCCCTTGTCTTCCTGCCCGATGAAGACGAAGAGCCCCCTCGCGATCCCCGTGATCCCTGGAACCCTCCGGGCGATGGCCATGACGATGTGGTTCCCGCACATCGCGCAAACATTTCCATCATAACCTCCACCGAGACAGGAAGCACTCACCTCTCGCTTTCCGAGCCCTTCTTCCCCACACCTCCAGAACAATCTACCAAGAAAGCAGGCCAGCCGCAAAAGGGCAAGCATATCCCCTAGATCCATCACCGCACATCACATCGCGCGGGGCTCCGGTTCTTTTGGCCGTTGTTTACCCACCATCCTGGTCTGGGCGCGTCCATGGAGCTAGTTCCGGAAAGGGCCATGTCCATCTTGGTGGTGAGGGCTTGCTGGTGCGCTCTGGCAATCAGACGGTCGCTGACGGTGTGAGATATCCGGAACCCGAGGACGAGTGGGACGCTCCGTGGTGGGGCGCGTCCGGCATCATGAACGTTACCATTACAAGCAACGGCGGTACGGTGGACTTTTTCGCTCGGGGGGATAGGCGGGGTGAATGAGTGAACTCGAGAGTATTGGGCTGGAAGGGCGGGGAGATTCTGAAAGGATTGACCGAATATGGAGAGCTAATCTGCCCACGTCGGTGGGATGTGGTAGGATAAAAGTAATCTAGTGAGAATAGTATATGCAGCTAAGATGAAGCCGATCACATTTTTCTTTCCATTTCAGTTTGGATTTACTCTATCTGTTCATATATTCATTCAGTCTTTTCCATTTTGGATATCGTCAGATTTTCCTCCCATTGTCCTCGTTTCCCTTCGACTTCCAAACTTTTTGTGGTGGAATAATTAGGTGTGTGATGGTGATGAAAAACCGAGGCCACTTAGGATGGATAAATAAAAGTCTCCCCCCGAAGATGGCCGAAGATGGGAAATAGCATGTGGTTGATATCCCTTCAGACAGAAGAAATATTCACTCGAGTACGGCGGTTCGGCTGCATTGTTTGAACGAGGTGTTTTTGAATTCCCTCACGATCGTTTCCTCCTCGTTTTTGATGCATGCATGCTGATCTGAAACCATGCACTGCAAAATCATGACAAGCAACCGCCAAAGGAAAAGTAATAGGATGGATAGCCGTGTTTAAACAACCTGAAAACAAACAAACAAACAAACGATAAAAAAAAAAAAAAAAAAGGGGAGGGGGAGGGGGGGGGGGGGGGGTGGGTGGAGATGGAGGAGAAGAAAGAGTAGATCAGCTTTACGACCGCCGCAGGTGAGTAAAATAATAATAATAATAATACCTACGAAGCATATCAAGGAAAGGGGGAAAAAAATGGAAGATGGCAAAGTAAAGTAAAGCCGCTGTTCGGCATGATTTTGTATCGATTATATTCAGCGGAGTATAGATGTTTTCTTCAAAGTTGTGTGTGACCGCTGTTCATCATCTATATCTACTCCACAAGGTCAGAGACCGTAACACTAGCCATTCCATATCCAACTATGTAAGATGATCCATGGATGATGATGATGATGATGATGATGATGAAAAATGAAAACCAAAATGAAAAAATGAATAAAAGACATTGGAATATGAAAATAGGGCAAAAAGTGCAGTAGTAGGTGACCTGGAGAATAAACAATAATGTTAAAAGATAACAATGAATTTGGTAGACATCAGTTCAAAAAAGAGAGGGAAAAGTGAGGCGAAAAACAGGAGAGTATGAAAAAAAAAAAAAAAAAAAAAAAACAAAGTGGGAATCGTAAATATGTATGACTAAATAAAGATTGTTTACCTTCTCTCTCCCTCTCATCTGCGCGCCTGTTTTCCTTAAATATGATGTTTTGCCATGTATGAGTTCTATATGTATGCGAGTGTCGTTGCATTTATCCGGTTTGGTTTTGCTTCCCCCCTATTATAAGGACTGAGGTGCGGTAAGGTATGAGGTTTTGGTTTTGCGGGGTGGGTTTTTCTATTTTTTTTTTTTTTTTCTTAGACTAACTTTCTTCATTATTTCTTCATGTTAATAATACCCGACGAACGACGACGGAGCTCATATCATTTACCATCCGTGTTGGTGGTAGGAGCTCTCGAATGGGTTTTGGCCGCCACCCCGCGCAAAACCGCCCCCGTTCATCATATTAAATAGGATGTTGGGGTCAATATGGATATTCTGCCCGCCGCCCATACCTCCCATTCCGCCCATGCCTCCCATACCTCCCATACCGCCCATGCCACCCATGTGCGCGAAGGAGGCACCGCCACCGCGCGCGAATATGTCCGTAGGGTCTAAGAGGTCATCACCATTGTCATAGCTGGCACGTTTCCTGTAGGGTGAAAAAAGGAATGATTAGTTTATGAGGATGGGGATCGGGGGACCGGGTGTCGTGGGGCCGACAAGGGTGAATAAAAGAAATGAAAAATGAAAAGAAAAACAGGTGTTTCGTGGGGGAACTTGGGGGGTTCATACTGAGGATCACTCAAAATTTCATACGCCTCTCCAATCTCCTTAAACTGTGTATCTCCCTTATCGCCATCAAGATTCTTATCCGGATGATGCTGAATCGCCATCTTCCTATACGCTTTCTTAATCTCCTGCTCCGTCGCGTTCTTATCGACGCCAAGAATCTTATAGTAATCTTTCCGCTGGCTCTTCTTAAGCTCAAACTCTGCATTTCGAACTTCTTCCTGAATACCCTTTTCGTTGGGATTAGCCTCCGCAATCTTTTTGAATTCACGCGATGCTTCCTCCCAGTTGCCCGCGGCTCCGTACGCCTTTGCCCGCACCCGTTGCGCCTTTACGTATGCAGGATCGAGTTTGAGTGCACTTGTGCAGTCTTCAATTGCTTTGTCGTAGATGCTAAGGTTAAGATAGGCCTGGGCACGGTTCTGGAGCAGTTTGGAGTTGATGTCCTTATTTTTTGGGTCAACTTCCAGGGCCTTAGTGTACAGATCGATAGCTTCTTGGTATTTTCTCGACTTGAAAGCTGCGTTTCCTTCATCTTTCATTCGGAGGAGTTTCTGCACCATGCGGAGATAACGGATCGCCTGCGTGGAGTCCGGGTCTAGGCTCAGAGCGAGTTTAAAGTGTTTGATTGCCTGCTCGTTCTCTCCTTGGGCGTAAAATAGTCGGCCCCGGAGTAATAACGCATCCGGATCCTGATTGTTATCTCGTAACATGGACATGACGATGTTTTGAGCATCACCCAATGAATTAACATTTCCCATCTTTAGATACGCTTCCACTCGCATCAGCCTCCATTTGCGCGGTTGAGTCACGCCAAATCCTAGCGCTTTTACGGCCTGATCCAGGCAATATAACGTCATAGAGCCTCCTCTATCATCCCGTAGAGAACCTTCTGCCTGGGTGATATGATGCAACATTGTCTCCGCAGGGCCTTTATCCTTCGCGGTAACGGGTGGTTGGATCTGCGAATAGATGGATAATGCCTCTGTGGGGCGACCAAGACTAGTGTATATTCTTGCTAATCTGTGCATGATTTTCTGGTTACCAGGTTCCAACTCATCAGCCAGTTTAGCATCTTCCAGGGCTTCATGGTAGAGATGTGCGGATATGTAGGCAGCCGCTCGGTTTGAAAGATACGTTGATGACGACGGCTGGGCCTCGACCGCTAGATTCAAAAATAGACATTAACACATAAACATACCCGCAGCCGCTCCCTATGGTTCACCGCATCACCACTCTCAAATTGTTTCTTTGCTGAACACCTCTTAGAGGCCCTTTTATAATCCACCCCATTTCGCTTAAGCCAAGGCATTTTTCATCTCAACCACAGCATCATTAAAAAAGCCAAAAAAATAAAATAAAATAAAATAAATAAACAGCAAGAAATAAGCTTACCCTTCGTATACTCCTGGATGGCTTTCTGATAATCGCCTGCCTTGAAAAACTTATTCCCGGCTAGCTTGCACGCCTCCGCATCAACAGCGGGGGGTGCAGGTTGTGGCGCACTTGTGGG